CCCGAGGATCTTGGTTCACCTGTTTTCCTTACGTTTGTAGTGGCAGATATTTAGATTGGGCTCGTAATATTCTTACTGCAAACGCTGTCGGATGACAAATAAAGAAACCAACCACCCAATTTCCAAGGAAAAACACAGAAGAAATTCTGGCTGCACGCAGTTTTTACCTCCAAAACTGACCAGCTAAATTCATCTGGGGATTTTAAAACTGCAGGATATATATAACTAGCAGGATAAATAACTAGCAGGAGTGCATAATTTTTGCTTTAAACAAAAATATTTCTCACTTCAGCTATTCAAATCAACATTAACAGTGTCCAGAGCATGTCACTCACAAAATAACCCTAGGCATGGAAATTATGTCAAAGCTTCCAAGGCAATTTGCAAACACTCCAAATGTACTGAAGAACAGACATTCACATTGACAGCTGAATTCTTCAGCTCTGAAATCAATACATGCTTTATTTCCTATGAAAGGTGTGCAAATGTACAGTAATAATACTTGATTCATGTAATTAGAATAATATTATAATTAAAGACTCTACAGTATGATTTCTGCTGGTAGGAACTGATCTAATTTCTGTGAGAAATGGTCTTTTCATAACAGTGGGCTGTAAAACAGACCCACAGTATTTCAGATCCATGGAGATCAAAAGAACAGTTTTTGAGAGAGCAACAGGCATCAATATCATTCTTTCATAGTTCAAATAACAGTGAAAGAAAATGCAAAGGGTACTAACTGATCTCACAGGAACATGGCACAATGGGAGGGCTTAATTACTAAAACCAACGCTCTCTTTGTCACTTCCTTCTCTCTCCCCTAATCTGCATGCATGCAGCTTTAAAATCCACAATGGTTAGCCAGTTTCATTAGTCTTTACTAACACTGTTTGGGTACCTGTGCTGAGGATAGCAGACTCTGAACCAAAGTCAGTATTCTATCCTATTATCACCACATGACTGAAACACACAACACACTTCTTAAACCTCATTACAAACAGGATGCTCTGGGACTGTGCTCTTTATTATTAGAAACACATGCACATAATCCTACTGAGTATGTTTTTACTCAGGCCGTGTCAAGCTATCAGTGACTAACAATCAACACTCCTGCAATTTGACTGACAGAAGCAGAAATTGAATCTGACCTAAAAAAAAAAAAAAAAGAAAACCAAAAAAACTTGCACAAATTTTCTTCTAAAATGAAGATAAATTCAACATCAACCAAAGAGAGAAACTAAAAAAGTCTTGCTGTTATGTTAATTTTGGTGTGGTGTGGGTTTGTTTTTTCTTCTTAAACAGGAAATTAATGCTGGTTAGAACAGAAATAAAAAAAAGAAACATTCTTCCAAAGAGCCCTCAAGTGTTCTAGGGGAAGGCCACATATGTTGCAGTTTCCACTGTGTCAACTCCATTTAAGGGTGAGCTTCAAAGTCTGGGTTAGCCACTAAGGAGACACAGCAATTCAGTCCATCCTTAAGCTCACACACAACTTTCAGTGTACAGAGGCAGCCTCAATTTATTTCAGAGGGAATGCTCCCCGTAAACAGTGTCGTGCAGGAATGTTTGCAGAACTGAAGCCTTGACGTGGTGATGTGTTCAAACAGCATCACAGTGATGTCTATTTTCCATATCAGATATATATGCTGTTACTCCCTCCCAAGGAATGAAAGTGTAAAAATATTAAAGAAATAATTGCAGTTAGGATTATACTCTTTAAATACTTTGCTATAATATTAATAATTTAATGTGCTTTTCACTGAGATATTTGCCTGGCTTGTGATGATTCTTTTGGATGAAGCAGTTCTTCCTCTCTCCCAGACACTGTATTTCTATCTGGTTTTATGGCTCATTAGCTTTTTCAGATATACTTCACATAGGTATATAAAATTATGCTACAGTATTTTTGGCTTATTTAGTTTTGAGCTGCTGAGAAAGAGCATTTTAAACTCTTTGACACTTGTTACAAAATCCAATCATGAGTTACCTAAAGACAGACATCATTTGCCTCTTGACTCTTGACTGTGCTCTTAATTAAATGTAACAAAACTCTAAATGTCTATTACATTTCCCAATTAAACTCATCAGTAGATATTTATCATTGGACACAAAGGTTACATTGAAATCTTTAACCATCCTTACATTACTCAGTTTTACACTTTTTTTTATTCTATGTATTCATTTTTCTGACAACAGGAACATTTACAATCTCTCTCCATAGTAATCACTCCTACTGTGGGGAAAACACTGAGCTCTTCAATGACTTCCATGACAATAGCAAATTATTTCTTTTTTTTTTTTTTTTTGTCATTAATTCATAATTTGTTAAACTGTTCAGCAGTAGCATTAAGTAAAACATCAGTAACTCACAACTTTATGTCCCCTAATATGGTTATGGTCATTGTCTAAGTCATTAGTAAATGGTGGGGGTTTTTGGTGAAAATTTTTATATTAAAATAATATATAAAAATACAACATGAAATCCACTAGGAGAAAAAAAAATACAGAAAGTGCCAGCATTTTTGTGGCTGAAAATAATTCCATCATAGCAGACCATAAAAATCAGAATACAGCTACTGTTTACCATAATCCTACACCGATTTTTAAGCATTAAACACTGCCCATTTTAAAGAGGAGTAATGTGTGAAAATGTGGGGACAGCAGTGAAGTCTCACATTTGCCATACATTGTACACAGGAATTTTGTGCCTCTTCAGAAGACTCTAGTGTCAGCTATCAAACTGCCCAGTAGTTACAATTAGCCCTGTCCCGTGGCTAATCTTATGTTTTGAACATGGATTAATGAGAAAATAGTAACCTGATGCACATTTACACACAAAAACTACAAAAGTTTTGCTATTGAAAAAAAAATCGAATTTTCGTCTCATTTAGCAAATGGCATATGGAATTTTCTGCAAGGCATGTGGTACTAATTGAACATGGTACGAGTCCACCAGACAGTCAATATAGCCATGAGGTATCCAAGGAATGTTTCCCTTCAGTGGACATTATCTGTGTATTGATTTGATGGCCTGAATGGATAAAAGCTTCGGTAACAAACAATGTTTGAGGATTTGGGAACTGCACTTCTTATCTGTATGAATGCTGCAGTTGCTGAGGAAAATTTTGAGACACTTAATAAACAAGCAAATTAGGAACTAAACAGGATCAGTTTATTTTCATTTACTCATTAACCACTTACTTTGGTATTTATTTTCAACCTTTTTTTTTATACTGAGACCACTGCTCTGTGCCAGAGACCACTCTCATGCCAGAGAGCATGAAGCCAAAGTTATCACCCAATTTTTTTAATAGGAACAATAATCTAGGTTCCATACATTTTAATGACATTAACAAACACCTAAAAGAAAGTTGTATGGTGCCAATGATTTATTTTGAAAATTCTGATATACACAATGTGTATAAATACACTTTTAGGTATTTGACACCAACTGAACTGATTAAAATATCAGTTATGCTATCTCTGTTAGATACAGGTTAATTATTAACTTTAAATGTTAGTCCATTTCTATATAACTTTAATTCTCTTTCCAATTCAGGTAAAACAAACAGCAGCAGTGAATTCTCACTTATCCTGAGCAAAATTAAAAGTCAGATGGTTGAGTCCCCCGAGCTAAGGTGAAAATGACTTTCTGTTAACCAGAGTATTTCTGTGCAAAAGAACATCAGAGTCTCAACACCACTATATCCAGCACCAGTGGGTTATTTTTATCGAGAAACTTGAAGAGTAACAGAGCAGCAGTTTGTGGCTTGAAAGGTAGCACTGACTCCTTTGTAGCTCCAGTAAATTTCAGAGTAGTATAAAAGACAGCACAATTTCAGTAGTGCTCTGAATGGGTCAACTTCCTCAGTCTACCACCACTTGCAAAATCTTCCATCACCACTAACAGAAAGAAATGAAATCTGCTTCCTAGTCCTTCAACAGTTAAATGTGCACTCTGCTTTTGATAATGAGACTGGAGAAGAAGCAGTGAGAGTTAAGTAACAGGGGTGTCACTCAGTTTTAGAGCATCCTGAAATAAAGTCACACTGTGACTCTTATGCCAAAAATAAGATGAGATTAAAAATAGACCTGTAATATTGGTAGTCTGTTACAAAACAGTTTAACATTCAATACAAAAGCCACTTGGCAAATAAAATATGGCAACTGAAGAACAAATCCTGGAAAATAATGTTACTTTTATACTTTCTGCACTGAAACTTTATGCTGAAAGGTGTAACCAGAATCTTACCTAACTACAAAAAACGTTGCACATACCCTTCTCTTGAAGGCTCTAATTTAACAGGTGGTTTCAAAATACTTTCAAAGCATATGGAAATATCACCCTGTAAACCTAAAAACCTCTGCTCTTGACATGCTGTATCAATGAACTGAAAAGAGCAATAACATTTAAGGTGGCTGAATCCTCATTATGTAAAACAAGCTGCATTTTCCTGCTCTACCCCCTACAGTATTTCTATTTGTGGAACACAATAAGAATTGTGCTCTCTGCCTTACTTCCCTAAGATTTCAAATATCATTTCAGTTTAGAAACACACCTGCCCTGAGAGGTATTTTCAAACTGAAAAATCATGCATGATTAACAGTTTTTCTCACATCAAGGGCTCCTTCTTTCCTCCTGTATATTGCACCAGACATATTGAAAGGCTACGTATCCAAGATATATACAGTATGCTAGATAACACTGAAAACCTAAATTCAGAAGAAGGAAAAAAAAGCCAAACCAAAAAGTAACAAAATCAGCTTTTAGCTTAGGAACAGTATTTTCACACAGCTGTAGAACATTATTTGCAGGTTTGCTCTAATGAAACAAATTAACACAGCTTCCCAACCCTGCCTTCCTGCATTTACATTCCATGTATTATGCACCAAAAAAGCAATATACAAATAGAGATCCTTTCAGCCTGACTAGCCTGTCTGCAAAACCAGCAGAGGATTTTCCATTGATTAAAACAGAGAATGGAAGAAAACAGACCAACCTTCACAATGTACGTCACACCAGGTCCCAGGATCTTCTCATTCGAGTGCAGCCATCCTCGAGAGGGTTTACTGACAAAGCTGCTACTTTGATTCCAATCTTCACCTCCCAGGTGCATTTCCTCTGACCGTGCCTTTTTCCCCATACTCATCTTGCTCGCGTCCTGCTGAGAACACGAAGTGGCAGAGACAAGGTTACATGTGTTGTCTGAAGCCCCTGCTGCTGAACTAGAAGCACTCGAGCTTCCCTGCAACTTGGAGACAGCAAGCTCCTTTACTGCAGAGGAGAGGTTTTTGATACCCAAAAGGCTGCCTGTGCTAGAGAGTTTCAAGTGGGACACTTTATGGATAAGGCTACACAGGGTGGTGGGTCCATCTTCGTGGTCCTTGCGGAGAACCTCTGTCGAGACCAGGTACGAAGGTGAAGCTGAAGTCGTAGCAACTGCTGAGACTTTGCTGTTCATGGACAAATTGTGAATAAGATCATCAACTGATGTCACAGAATCATTCCTGAAGCGGTTATACTTGTTACGTTGAAGCATGCCCTTCTATCTGCTCTCCTGCATATGTTCTGGCAAATCTGATGCCAAGGCAGGAGATGCCTGCACTAGCATAGCACACGATTCATAACGACACGGACGGATAACAAGATTTTGGGGTAAAAAAAAAATCAAAGAGTATAAGGAAAAACAAGCAGGAAAAAAAAAAGTATATTTTTAAGCAATTTCTTTTGGTTCCCTGTTAAGGTTGGGTGAAGTAACAGTTTTCTGTGACTGAGATCCCAGTCCTGCTTAGAGCTGCCAACTCGCTCACAGCAAAAGCATGACTCACACAAATGAGAAGGACCCTTTTCAACAAAAGGCTGTGAACACTGCAAATCACTTCCTGTAGCCAAAAAAAAAAAAAAAAAAAAAAAAAAAGAGAGAGAGAAGGAAAAAAAAAAAACCACATCCACCCACTTACAGCACACTAGCTACCAATCAATTCTCAAATTTCCTTTTCCTATCTTCTCAAACAGATATTTCCTTTCAACCTTTAATTCGTATCCCCTCCCACCACCCTTTTAGTACCAAAGGCAATTACCTTCAAAACTGAATTAATAGCCTTTATGAAACATCACACTTTATTCTTCTGTTAAAATTCTTCCACCTCACACATTTGTGAATCTATAAAGAAATCACAATTAGATAGCAAATACTTGGATAATATTTACATACATATACCCCTTCTCTCCTGTGCCTGCAACAAAACACAGGCACCTTAAAGGTTTTCAGAACAGATGACAGAACTAAGGAATATAGACATTTTCTCCCACAAAAGCAGTCTAACAGTGCCTTTTTGTCAATGCTGTCCCTCACAGAAACTGTTATATCCCAATTTTGACAAAGAAATCCTTCTCCCCATTACTCCACAAGAACATTCTATTTTAATTCAGGAATTACATAAGTACCTATGTGTGAAGAAAAGCATTTTTCTGATGTCTGACAACAGGCTTAACAGATGTTTTTTTCTTTCACCACTGATATTCACTCTGAAGAAAGACAGGAAGAAGATCTTCAATTCACTGGAATGTTTGGTTTAATTCTGAAAAACTCGAAAACCTGAAATAATATTAAAAAGTCCAGAGAGCAGCAAACTGACATCCTGCAGTGAAAAACAAAAAAATGGTCTTTATTTAGCATGTTAGTCAAAAACACTTGATCTGAGAAGTAGCAAAACATGCAGAAAGCAGGTATTTAATGTTTCCCACTTTTTTTTTTTTTTAAAGACAAAATATGTACAGCATTGTGACACACAATGCCCATCACAAGCCATATGGCTTTTTCCTATAAATCAATCTGCTTTGCAAAACATCTTTCGGATGTAGGAAAATACACTGCATTATAAAGAAATTCAGACCAGAAAAGTTGCACAGTGCAAAGCTATTTCTTAAATACATGACTAACTGCAGCACAACTTAAAGGAAAAAATCCTATGGAATTCCTTCCTCCTCCCATTGCTAAAGGCTGCAGTATACAACGTGCAAATACAGTGAAACAGCCAGCTCAAATACAGGTATTTAATTAGTATATTCATGACATATTGAATTAAATCAGCACCTCTTATCCCAGCAGTGATGAATAATGGCAATGTCTTAGTCAATGTAAAAGCAGGTTTCTACTGATCTGCAGAACAGCCTTTCATCACCACACTGCAAACCTGCTACAGCATCCTCACAGCATGCATTCCTCTCTTCATTCTCCTAGCACAGCAACAGCAAGTATACACACCACAGCCTATTTTTACGTGTCTCTACAGCCCAGAAAACCCTACTGCTCCCGAACGACTGTCTTCATTAGAAGCGGCTAGCGAGACTGCAAAACGTGAATGAGATTCTGAGCGTGTGAATGAAAGGGCTGGCTAGCATCCCCACATTTCTGTGAATGAAGCGAGGCCTCGCAGCCTCTGCCAGGCAATCCCTTGGGTGCTCACCAGCCCAGCCAATACCAGCCGGCGCTGATGACTCATTCAGCAAAGCCTTGCTAAATAGTGGAAGATCCCATTTCGAGCACAGGCGGCACCCTTTTTTTGCGGCAACGCCAGAAAATGAAGCCGGCGTGTGAGCCGACGGGAGCGGGTCGCGAAAGCCCCCCGTGGGAGACGGGGTGTTCGCCAGAGAAATGCCCGGGGTGGCCACAGGGCTGGCAGGTGAGGAAAACCGCGGAGTCGGGGCTGGGTTTTCTCCCCGACTGTGTTCATTCAGCCAATTCATTTACATCCAGGACAGGAACATGAATGCGCACATTTCGTTTGATGTTTGATTGCTCCCTGCGTGCGCCCGCAGATTCACTGGTTTTGCAGGCTCGCCTTCACAGACCTCCGGTGAGAAACAGCCCCAAACAAACAAACGAAAACAACAGCAACAAAAACCCCACACAAACAAAACCCCAAACCGAACAAACAAACAAACAAAACATAAAAAACCCAGCCACGAAACAAAGCCAAAACCCTGCCTGAAAAAAAAAAAAAATTGCATGGACTTATTTACCCCTTTTTTACCCTGTTAGCACAGTAAATGTTTAACGATGGTATGATCATCGGTCCACTGAAGGGGGGGGAGGGCAGAGGGAAAGCTAGAAGACAAAAGCTTCCCAGAGCACCAGCAAGAGGTCTGTTTTCTGACAGTTTCGCTGGACACAGAAATGCTACCAAGACCTCCGTTGGATGTAGAGCTCCTCTGGAAACCTGATATTAGGCACTGCAGAGGACTAGAAGCCACTGCATTACCCAGTGCTTGAAATCCAGTGCTTATTTCAGTGTCTGGCTGGGGAACTGTCTCCTTTACAAATCCAGCCCTAAACTGGGAGAACTGAACATTTTAAAACCTTGCCTTTTACAGTTTCTGGGATTAGAAACAGTGCATAATTTTGCCCTACATAGGCAGCAGGTTCAAATCCAATTCTGGGAAATAATAAATGAAATAAGGAGACCATGTAATAGGCACAAACTCCAATTAAAATTAGGATCTAGCTCATTCTAGCTATTGCCAAAGAATTTATAATGTCTTTGGCATTTCCAACACCATGCCTGTAGCTTGCACACTGACTATACCACACCTGCCTTCAACAAGCTGGTTGCTGCCCATATCACAGACAGCAAGACATTCAAACCACCATTTCTTCCTTATCTCTATTTGAAACCTATGTTAAGGCAGCTCATAAGGTGGATCCAAGTTGAAAATGAGCCTTTTTCTTTCCTTTTTTGCAGGGCTATGAACCACCATGATTAACAAACAGCTGTGGAACTATGACTTCATTGCTGACCCAGTAATAAAATGGCAGGGGGAAATTCGATGTTAATAAATGCAAAGTAATATATAATCCTAGAAATACATACACAGTGGTGTGCACTGCCTCTGACAAAGTACAGCATTTCTTATGAACTAGTGGTAATTTTGGCATCTCAGACTTCTTTTTCAACTTCTGTTGGTTTTCTTTTTCATTTCTGTTTTCTCATGGACACTCCTCTCATCCTGGTGCAGTCCTTGTTTCACGTCACTGTTCCTCCTTTTTTTCCTCCAAGCAGCACTCATGGTCATATCCACAGCCAACATCTTTTTCCTACTGTACCTTCACTACCTTTGCAGACTGTATTTCAGAAGAAAGTAATTTGTATTAACAGCAAAGGGTAGGAAAAAAACCAGATGCTGGGGACAAAATCAGAGGGAGAAACTACATTTTGTTGAGGCTTAAAAGGTTTTAAATTGCTGCAGTTGCAAACATAAGAGACATTGTCAATGCACAAGCTAAACCAGGTAAGATGGTGTGATCACCATAAAGAGGAAACACAGGGAGTACAACCACTGTGTTCCTCTAACTGTAGTAAGAAATTCTCCTGAATGCAAAAAAGGTGACTTTCAGTGACCCATATTTAGAGAAATGTTAATCACATAATCAGATTTGGCAAATATACCTCGTTCCAGTAACGCACTGTGGTCAAACATGTACTCTCTATCCGAATAAGTGCTAGAAACTGTTGAAGTTCTGCCGAAATACTATTTGCATTTCCAGGGTGTCTGCCCGGTGGCAGTAAAACTGCTTGTGGACTGAAATGGATTTAAGAAAAACATGGAAGACAGTGTCTTTTGCGGGGCGGGGGGGAGAAATCCAAAGTGAATTTGGGTAGCTAAGTTAAAAGAAACAGTGAATCTGCCCAGAAACACAAACACAGATGTTGCTAAGAGTTTTAATACTATACAAAAAGCAGCCATAAGGCCATCATGGTTGACATCCCTCTTTACAACAAGCCCCAAACAATTATTGTTACTATGATGTAACATTAAGCCATCAGCAAACAGGATGCTATTCCTCACATTGTAGTATGATGGACACAAGTTTTTATGCTTGGGCTTTAGTAAATGTTCTTGCAGAATCTTCAATACTGACAAATGGTCAATTCCATTAAAAAAAAAAATGTTTCAATAGGACAAAGATTTCTAATATCCTGTAGGGACATTCTTCTCTTGATTAGTTAATTCAGAAGGAAAAATACCAGCTTTCTTTGCACGGCCCAAGCTAGACATATACCAGAAATCTCTTGCCCATGTATTTATTAATCAGCCTAATCCAGCTTTCTTTGTGTGAGACAACCTCAGATGATCTAGGTAACAGAGGAGCAAGATGACATCAAGGCAAGCTGAAAAGAAGTATGATATAACTTTCTTAAGAAAAAAATATTTCTAAACAATTTGATCTCTTCTGTTTTTACATACTGAATATATCATATTCTGTATTCCTCTCTTTCTCTGATTTACTTGCATACAGAGCTCAGTTGCATCTTACTGTGATTTCAAGGGAGGCTTATCATGTAGCTGAGAGAAATAATGAGAAGCACTGAACTTCCCATCAGTGCCATGACTATCTACCTCTACCTCAAAATATTTCGCAGGAATAAAAACATGGACTGGGCTCACATCACTATTTTTCATACTGGGTGTTTGAGTCAGACCTCAGCTTACTGTCCTAGGCAAGAAAACCACACGACCACCACCAAAAACCCCCAAAGGCCTGCGGGCAAAGGTTATGGTCCTCCCCCAGCAGAAAACAAACAAACAAACAAACAAACAAACAAACAAACAAACACATACAAAGGGGAAAAAAAATCAAACAAGCTGAAAAAAAAAACCCAACAAACTATTTTAACAAACTCCAGTTAATTTATTTCAATTAAAAAAATGTGCTGTAAATTGCCCCCATCTCCCTTCTCTTTCACGGGCTCAGAGTTTTGCTGTTTCCGTGGCAACATTATTGCTAAGAGTGGGCTGCGCCAGGAAATGGGAGCATTATCTGCGGCTTTGCAAGTTATTTC